GAAGAAAACATGTATCGAAAAGAGCAAGAAACGCTTCGTCAAATAGCAAAAGCAAGTGATGCTATTAGGCGGAAACATCGTTTACTCAAAATGGGTAAAGAGGCTGCAGAAACAGTATTAAAAGAAACTTTTCAACCAATAGTAACACCCCTGGAAAAGTTGGTTAACATAACTGACATACCTTTCAAAAATATTAAGAAAGAAAAAGTTAAAAAGGAGGAAAATGATTTTTCTTTCTCAACTGCTGTTGATGAGGAAGAGGAATTTGATAAAACACTACTCAATGACACTCTACTTGATAAGAGCAACAACTTTGAAGAAGAAGAAGAAGAAGAACTTAATTATGAAAATTTGACAAATAAATTTATTCAATTATTGAATAAAAACAGGAAAAGTTTTTTAGACATGGTTTATGGAGTACGTAAGCTTCCTAATGGTTCTTTTATTATTGGTGATACACAAGTTGATTTAGAAGGTCTACATATTCAACTTGCTGGAAAGAAAAAATATTTAAAAACTGCTGGGTTGATTGAACTTTTATTTAAACAAAGACCTAATCATGCATTAATAAGTCCAGATGATTTGGAAAATTATAAAGAAATTCTTGTAGCTATAAATGCACACCGAAAAAATTATAGTTCCAGTGGACTTTTCAACGTAACCAGGAATTCTAAATACACTGATGTCATTGCAAAACTTTTTAAGAGTACACCAAAGAAGGGAAGTGGTGTTTTAAAGAAGAATCTTGGAAAGAAATTACCTCAATTTATGGTTTCAAAGAAACAATTTGAACCAGACTATATCTATTGGGATGAACCAAACGAATTAGTTGACCGACTACGTCTGCTAGTAGCATCACAGAAAGCTGGTAATCCAAGCCATAATAATGAAATTATGTCAATCATCGAAGAACTACGTGAAGCTCGCATTATATATTAGGAGAGTACAAGCAAATAGAGCTTAGTATTAAAATGAGCAATGATGTGTTTGGACACCCTTTGTCACGGCCTCTTGCAAGTCGTGGACTTCCTGGATTGGGTTTAAATTAAATTAAATTTTAAATTAAATTTTAAAATTAAATTAAATTTAATTAAATTGTTAAATTAAATTATATTGGGTTTAAAATTACTCCAAGTGAACAATACGACATTGATAACAAAAGACTTTGCAACGTTCAAGACGCTGAAGAGCAACGAGACGCTGTAAATTTAAGACTTGCACAGAAAATTATTAAGGGGAGGTTCCCATTGCGGGAGTCAAAAAAATTGATTTCTTTTTTATTGTATTTTTTTAAAGCTATATATATGTAGAATATGTGTGTATAGCGATTTTTTGATCCGAAGAATATTTTCGTTTTTATGAAGTCTTGAACTCACCGCCGTCCCGAGCACTGAGTAACAAATGTCAGGCAAATCGAATCAATTTTTAAAAATTTTGCAAATCTGACCTCAGAATCGTAAAGAGCGACCCTAAATACCTATAGATATTTATCATATACGCAAATTGAACAAAGAATTGCAAAGAATACAATTATTGCACAAAAATGTTTCTCAAACCTTAAACGCGTTTTTCTCGAAACAAGATTTTAAAACTGGTGGGCATCGTAGCGTCTAAACTATTTAATCAATCAACTTCGGGTTTGCGGATAATTAAAGGTAACTAAATTCTACTGGGGTTATACCTATAATATGATAAAATTGTTAACAATAGAGATTTTTACAAGAGATCAAATATGTAAAAATAATGCGAAAACGCAGTTTTTTTAAAAATGTGTCCGCCATTTTGTCATTTTATTAACTTTTTAACTATTTTATAGGTATAACCTATTCTTTAGGATGTCACCTTTATAAAAAATTTTGAGTTTTTGTTTTAGACTAAAAATTGCGCAGTGTAGAATGCCCACCGTTTTCCCTATTTAAAAAAACATTATTTTCTAGATGCGCCATATTGGCCGCCATTTTGCATTTTTTTGAAAATGAAATATATATTTTAAAAGTTCAAGAATGTATCTTTATTTAGAAAAAAAAATTACATCGTTAAGTCATAGCCGTTCCTCGCAAAAAATTGTCAAAGTTTGTGTTTATTTTGGCCCCCGCAATGAGAACCTCCCCTTAAAAACGAGATAAAAACAGTTTTTCAAATTACATCTTCTTTAAGATCAGCTATTGATGATTTGAATCTTTATATCCGAATTATCGAGGATAGAGTAAACGAAAAACTTAAAGAAATTGAATCACAGCAAAATTATATCATCAAAGAGGCTAAATTTATTCAACAGTGATGGCTGATCAAAAATTAACAGTTGTAACTGAACTGCATAAACAAGCTAGAAAAAATTATCCTCGTCGAAAAGTTCAAATGCGTGGTATAGATGAAACCTGGCAAGCAGATTTGGTTGAAATGATACCTTATTCTTATTCTAATAAAGGTTTCAAATACATGCTCACAGTTATAGACATATTTTCCAAATATGTATCTGTAAAGAGTAAGAATGGAAAGGATATTTCTTTAGCCATGAAAACTATTCTCAAACAAGGCCGAATTCCAAAAAATTTGCATACTGATAGAGGCAAAGAATTTTACAATTCTGAATTTAAGAGTTTAATGCAAGAATTTAACATTAATCTCTATTCTACCTATAGTAATTTGAAAGCCTCAATTGTTGAAAGATTTAACCGCACTCTAAAAAATATGATGTGGCCTGAATTCAACTTACAAGGCAATTATAAATGGATTAATCTTTTACCAACTCTCATGTCAAAGTACAATAATAAAAAGCATCGTACTATTGGTATGAAACCCAAAGATGTCACCGTAGAAGATACAAGAGAACTGTTGAGACGTGTCCGTAAACCACGTAGAATTCCACTAAAAAGATCAAAATTCAAAGTTGGAGACAGAGTTCGAGTTAGCAAATTTAAAAATATCTTTGAAAAAGGATATACTCCCAACTGGACAACGGAACTATTCACTGTGAAAACAGTTAAATCGACAAAACCAGTTACATACAAGCTGAAAGATTATCAAAATCAATCCATTGGAAGGTGGTTTCTATGAAGAAGAATTGCTGAAAGTCCAATATCCAGATGTTTACCTTGTAGAAAAAGTTCTCAAGACTCGTGGTAATGATGTATAGGGGAGAGTAGGCTACATTGAACCAGCGTCAACAGTGAACCACTTCAATTTTCTGAGAAATGACTGAGTGAAATTTTTTCTTATTTAATATATAAGTTAGTTTTACTGAAACAAACTATGTCCAAAAATTTCGGGCACGTAGGTTTATTATTTATAAAGAAAAACCAAAAAAACTGTTTTTCACGTACAAAACAAAAAATTTTGTGGAAATATAATCAAGTTTTTTTTTGAAATAGGAAGTTTTAAAAATTAGTAAACTTGTGATTTATTTAGCTTAGGGTGCCAACTTCAATATTCCGATGTGATAAAGAATTTTAACTCTTACATAAATTTATTATAAACAATTTTTGTTGTGAATGTCATGTGAATACAGTGAGTGCGGCATCATTGAACCACCCGAAAAAGCAAAGAATTTTCAATTTTAAGAGTTGTGAAATTGTCTGCTCTACTAATTAGTAAGAAAAATACTGGAAGACATGCTTTCATCACAATTGTGAACGAGATAAACTCAAACTGTCACTTTACCTACCTAACCTGACATTAAAATACATTAATCTCCTATATTAACAAGTAATAACAATTAAATAACAATTTTCTATTTTTTTGAGTGGAAAATAAGATTTTTTACAATGTGTAAGTGGAAATATTATTTTTGAAGTAAATTGTAGTGTTTTATTAAAGGTGGTTCAATGTAGACACACATTCTTCAAAATAAGAAAAGTTTAACTGGCTAGAAAAAAATTAAATTTTATTATTTAATCATAATAATTTGTGTTTGTAACGTGTGTATTAACTAAAGGAGTACTTCAGCTTAATTTTGATACAAAAACCTGATCGAAATTAGTAAAATTTTATTAGTTCTTGGACTTTATAAAATACCCGGTTCAATGTAGCCTACCCTCCCCTACGTGAAATGGATTGGATTCGATAGCTCACACAATAGTTGGATAAAAAAATCTGATATGTAATATAGTTAAAGTAACGTTAAAGTATAGTTAAAGTAATGTTAAAGTAAAGTTAAAATAAGTTAAAGTATAGTTAAAGTAACGTTAAAATAAGTTAGAATAAGTTAAAATATAGTTAAAATAAGTTAAAATATAGTTAAAATAAGTTTAAATGTAGTTAAAAAAAGTTAAAATAAGTTAAAGTAACGTTGAACTAACGTTAAAGTATAGTTAAAGTAAAGTTAAAGTAACGTTAAATTAAGTTAAAGTAACGTTGACCTAACGTTAACGTATAGTTAAACTAACGTTAAAGTAACGTTAAAATAAGTTAAAGTATTGTTAAAATAAGTTGAAGTAACGTTAAAGTAAAGTTAAAATAAGTTAAAGTAATGTTAAAAATAGTTCATATAAGATAAAGCAAAGTTAAAATAAGTTAAAATAAGTTGAAGTAATGTTGAAGAAAGTTAAAATAAGTTAAAGTATAGTTAAAATAAGTTAAAGTAAGATAAAGTAAAGTTAAAATAAGTTAAATTAATGTTAAAGTATAGATAAAATAAGTTAAAGTAAGATAAAGTAAAGTTAAAATAAGTTAAATTAACGTTAAAATAAGTTAGAATAAGTTAAATTAAAGTTAAAATAAGTTAAAATATAGTTAATAAGTTAAAATGTAGTTTAAAAAATTATAACAAGTTAATGTAACTAGATTAAGGTTTTTTAAATAAAGTAGACATATAATAAAATAAACATCTTTTATTCAAACAACCATTTCCTCCTCTTCTCTTTTTTTTACATTAGTTTATCCTCATCGTCATCGATTTCAAGAATTTTACAATGACCCCATGCGAGGGTGTCGGTGCTGTTTTCTAAAAGATACCTCTTATCGTCATAAGGACTTAAAACAATTTTCGTTTGTTTCAAAGTTTATACTTTGTGAAGATTCGACCTAATTGAATATTGCGTTCTAGATTGCATTTTAATATTTCGTAGACAATAAACATAATCATCAAAGTCGATATTTTTCTTAACAACTCCTGCTTTGACACCTTTAGCCTTTTTTATGATATCTTTCCCTTCTACACGGACGCTGTACATTTTTCTCCGCAAACCAACAAATTCTGTTACAATTTTTCCGCAACATTCTTCCTTCATGAGACCTAATATCTTTTTGTTGGCTTGCGGAATATTGTACACGTTATTAACCGGATAATCAGAAGTGTCGAATTTCATAATGTCTTGCTTCATATCAGCGTAAATGTCTGAGCACTTGATTTCATAAATCAGGCTATCGGTGTCGGTGTACAATAATTTCAAATTTTTTTCATCATACTTGTTCAACATATAATCATAATGGAAGTCGTAAATTAATGTTTTTGACACATTCAAAACAGTCAAGCCAACATACAGGGGTTTGTTCATCAAAACTTCCATTTTCCTAAGTTCCACAGCAACCAAATTTTCATTAAAAATGGCTCTGATGTGGAAATTAGATTTGGAAATTAAGGCTTCAGCTCCATATCTACCCTCCCACTTTGTCACGAGTTCAACATCTACATGTTTCCGCACGTTCTCCATTGTTTTTCCAAATACCGCGTTATTCATTAGTTTGAATAAGTTTTTCTCGAATTCATTACTGGCATTTGTTCTCCGCAAGGTATTAACCCATTAAGGACCAGACGGACGAAAAATTTCAACTGATTTTGAGGACCTCGTTTTTTATTAAAATGCATATAAAAAAATTGGCATATACTATTTTTAATGTAAAATTTACTCCTTTTTCAGATTCTGCAGTTAAAATTTGTTTATACCAGATTGTTAAAAAGTTATAAACAATTCAATTTTTTCCAAAAAAACACGATTTTTCGAGAAAAAAATTTCATTTCATACGTATTTTCACCTGAAAAAAGTAGGTGGACACTCTCAAAAGCTCAAAATATCGCGTCCATGGACCCACAGCTACAAAACCCTGAACCAACCAATTTTTTTTCAAAATGGCGGACGCTAATATGGCGGCTAAAACCAAAAAAATGACTCTCATATGAAACATAGTGCTTCAACTTTTTCAAGTCACTGAAAACGCCTGAAACTCGTTACTCGGGGGTTCTTGGGGTCGCTGATTACGAATATGATATCAGTTTTCAAAAATGCAAAATGGCGGATCCAATATGGCGGATCAGTTTTGAAAAAAAAATTTGGATTCCCCTGAAAATCTCTACTCAGGGGTTGTTAGGGTCGCTGATTACAAATATGATGTCAGTTTTCAAAAATTCAAAATGTCGGATCCAATATGGCGGATCAGTTTTGAAAAAAAAATTTGAATTCACCTGAAAATCTCTACTCGGAAGTTCTTAGGGTTGCTGATTACGAATAAGATGTCAGTTTTCAAAAATTCAAAATGTAGTATCCAATATGGCGGATAAGTTTTGTAAAAATTAATTTGATTCACCTGAAACTCTTCTCGGTGGTTTTTTGGGACCCCTTATTTTGAATATAATGTCAGTTTCCAAATCAGCGACCCCAAAAACTCTGAACTTGAATTTTAAAACTGCTACCTGAAAAAGGCATGAATTGAAGTCACAGGGAAAAGCCTTGTTTTTTCTCTCTGTGTAGGAATCGAGCCTTAAACCTCACAATGGGTGTGCGACATTCAGGGGCTTTACTGTGTGTTCTCTAAGCTGGAATAGGATATTATCTTTTATAAAAATTATCTTATGTAGCTCAGTACATCTATTTTAAAGAAAAATAGGTTTCATAATGATTTTTATTATCTTAATAACTACAAAACAAATTTCTTAGACTACTGAAATTACTTTCAACCGATAACTGGGCATCAGCCACATAGAAATTTTTTGCCGTCAACTTCATAAAGTTATCAAATACACAAAGACACTTAGGAGAAAAATGTCACTCACGGAACATACTGTTAAGTACAAAATGTACCTTCCAATAGCGATACATGTTAAATTTTTACTAATTTAAACAAAATATTAGAGGGTCAAACCATTTTATTTCAACTAAAGTGGTCGCCGACTAATTTTAAAAAATTGTAATATTCTACAGGAATGATACTCATGTTACTAAAATCACAAAATAAAAAGATTTTTTAAAAATAATTTTATATCTTTTGTAAAACATGAATTTTAAATATTAGAATTGCTGAAAACTGTCAATTTTCTGCCAGTATAAAATAATTCAAAAGAAATACATTTTAGTACAAAAATATAATAAAAATTATTGGCATTTGTTGAGAATGTCTAAATTTATTATTATAAATTGATATAAGCATTTAAAAATATAAAATAATAAATAAAATATCATTCCAAAGTTCATCATTAAATTAACCTATTTTTGGGATTTTTATTAACAAATAATGAGGAAATGGGATTATAAAATTAGGTAAAAACTTACGGAATATTAAGAATTTGTGATAAACTTTCAGTTTTGCATAAAAGTTTTCTTCCATTTTCTCGAAAAATAAAAAATATGTGTAAAATAAAATTGCTACTTTGCCCATTTTCACGATTTTCATGTGTGTTTAACTTCTCTGGAGAAAATCGGAAAAATATGGGATTTTCATAATTAATTAAATTATCACTAATTAAACACACACTATGATTTTCACTTTGGTCCCGGGCCTAGTTTAAAAATTATAAATTTTTTAAAAATAGTATATTTTTAAGGGTTATCGAATGTAATTTTTATAAAGTTTGTAAGGGTGGAATTTGCAACATAGAACTTTACCAAAGGAAAATAAAACATCACAAATTTACATCACGACCCGTTACTCCGAAACTAACTTCACCACAACAAAATCTTCACAAATCTCATCGGGTAGTTCCTCTTCTCCAAGCTGCGATGTAAAAACAACTTTGACAATGGACCATTCCTTTTTACACAAATGACCGTTGAGACGCTACCAAATTATAACGACTTTGGCACTCTCAACCGTTTACAGCACAAACAAAAATAGAAATAAAACACTTAAACTCTCAATTAATAAAATAAAACTCATTTATTAATTAAAACCCAATAAACTATAAATTTAATAACAAAATATAAAATAAAATATTCTATTATTAAATTCGATAATTGACGCTAGTCAAAAATCACGTCGCGACTACTTGAACCTCTGCAAGTAAGTGACAAGCAAGTGTAAATCCTATCTCCTCATCACCGGTAGGCTTCCTCATCATATTTTGCTTCTTCCTTTTTCCTATGGAAAATTGGGAAAAACCCTTCTTTCTTATCCCCACTGTACAGCACCTAAAATGGTCTTGGAAAGGGTCATTGGTCATGTGACGGTCTCTGGCAATTAATCATGCGCGAAATCATTTAAATTCAGATTTCACGAATGACACAGGTCTCGGGTCGCTGAACCAAGGACACACACAAGGGACTTGACAAGAAAACAAGACAAAACTATGATAAGAGAGAGAACGACGAACAACTTACTATAATGAAATTTACTTTTCCTACACACGACAGATTTGGAGAAATAAGTAACGATTCACCTCGTTACAAGTTGAAGTTAGATTAGCATTGACAATAAGAATAAAACAACTTCAACTTTATAAAAAATACATTCATCAACCCTCAAAAATATACTACTTTTAAAAAATTTATAATTTTTAAACTAGGCTCGGGAGCAAAGTGAAAATCATAGTGTGTGTTTAATTAGTGATAATTTATTTAATTATGAAAATCCCATATTTTTCCGATTTTCTCCAGAAAAGTTAAACACACTTGAAAATCGTGAAAATGGGCAAAGTAGCAATTTTATTTTACACATATTTTTTATTTTTCGAGAAAATGAAAGAAAACTTTTATGCAAAACTGAAAGTTTATCACAAATTCTTAATATTCCGTAAGTTTTTACCTAATTTTATAATCCCATTTCCTCATTATTTGTTAATAAAAATCCCAAAAATAGGTTAATTTAATGATGAACTTTGGAATAATATTTTATTTATTATTTTATATTTTTAAATGCTTATATCAATTTATAATAATAAATTTAGACATTCTCAACAAATGCCAATAATTTTTATTATATTTTTGTACTAAAATGTATTTCTTTTGAATTATTTTATACTGGCAGAAAATTGACAGTTTTCAGCAATTCTAATATTTAAAATTCATGTTTTACAAAAGATATAAAATTATTTTTAAAAAATCTTTTTATTTTGTGATTTTAGTAACATCAGTATCATTCCTGTAGAATATTACAATTTTTTAAAATTAGTCGGCGACCACTTTAGTTGAAATAAAATGGTTTGACTCTAGAGTAAAAAGCTATTATTTGAGTGACGCACACCCAGGGTGCGCTTTAAGGGTTAAATTTTTAAGAACTGACATCATATTCGTAATAACCGCCGTCAAAAAACCTCCGAGTAGAGAGTTTCAGGTGAATCCAATTTTTTTTTTCAAAACTGATACTCCATTTTGAATTTTTGAGAACTAACATCATATTTGTAATCAGCAACCCCAAGAACCCAGTTGAAATTTTCCGTCGAATAATTTTTTTTTACAATACTGATCCGCCATATTGGATCAGCCATTTTGAATTGCGATCAAGGGTACTTGGTTCGCGCCCATTAGCCTGGGATTTTTCCGGCACGTGAGATAATCTGAGCGGGAGGTTTGACGTCGAAGTATAATGATGTGCACCGTCGATTATTGTCCGGTACACACCATTAGAATTCGACTGTCGATAAACCGGTTGTACTCGGAGAGGTTTTCTACAGTTTCCCTCTCCACTGGCGAGAAAACCCATTTAGACGGGTGGTCCAGGCAAATGCGAGTACTCCTAACCTCAAAGTCGTTCTGTAGAAACGCAAAATCAAGTTGGTATATAAGAGTGTGTGTTCTGACAGTTGGCCAAGCCTCAAGTCATTTAAGAAAAAAAAAAAAAAAAAAAAAAAATATTCGTAATCAGAGTCCCCAAGAACCCCCGAGTAGAGAGTTTCAGGTGAATCCAATTAATTTTTACAAAACTCGTCCGCCATATAGGATCAGCCATATTGAATTTTTGAAAACTGACATCATATTCGTAATCAGCGACCCAAAGAACCCCCGAGTTGAAATTTTCCGGCGAATAATTTTTTTACAATACTGATCCGCCATATTGGATCAGCCATTTTGAATTTTTGAAAACTGACATCATATTCGTAATCAGAGTCCCCAAGAACCCCCGAGTAAAGAGTTTCAGGTGAATCCAATTAATTTTTACAAAACTCGTCTGCCATATTGGATCAGCCATTTTTAATTTTTAAAAACTGACATCATATTCGTAATCAGAGTCCCCAAGAACCCCCGAGTAAAGAGTTTCAGGTGAATCCAATTAATTTTTACAAACCTCGTCTGCCATATTGGATCAGCCATTTTTAATTTTTGAAAACTGACATCAATAATACATAAAATAAAACAATTCAATATTGACATCAATTCAATATTGTACCAGTCGTCTAACGGGGTTGTTAAAAAAATTTCAGCCGTTTTCGCGATAAATGTCTTAAGATCAGACATTTCTTGTTTACTATCAATCGAATCTTTTACAAATTTTCCCCCCCAAACGA